CAGAGCAGGGCCTATCAGGGGGTTGGGGCGCCGCCACTGTCACACTCAGGGCAGGGCCGATGGGGAGGTTATGGCTCTACCCGGTCACACACAGAGCAGGGCCCGTGGGGGGGGGGGGGGTTGGGGCGCCCCCCTCTGTCACCCACAGAGCCGCAGGGCGATCAGGGGATGGGGGAGCTCCCCCCTATCAGGCACAGAGCAGGGCTGATAAGGGGGTTGGGGCACCTTCCCCTGTCACGAACAGAGCAGGGCTGATCAGGGGGTTGTGGCCCCGCCCCCTGTCACACACAGAGCCCCAGGGCGATCAGGGGGTTTGGGCGCTGCCCCCTGTCACGCTGATCCCGGTGCCGGGAGCCTCGCTGCTCCGCTGATCCCGGTGCCAGGAGGCATATTACCCTTTTACTATATAGAATAGAGGCCTGGTGCACGGGTGGGGGCCGGCTGGTTTGCCCTGAAGGGTGTCCTGGATCAGGGTGGGGGTCCCCACTGGGGTGCCTGGCCAGGCTGGCTGAGGGGCTGAGGGCTATTTTCCGGCTGGCGGGTGACTGAAGCTCCCAATCGCTCCTTTTTTTCTTTTTTTTTTTTTTTTATTCTGGGCCAGCTTTAGCTCTGAGGCCTCACTGCTGAAAACATTGATACAATGTTGCGGTCCGGCTGGCTGAAGCCTGGCTGACTAACGCAGGTTTTTGGGGTTTTGTTTAGCTTCTATATTTGCAACATAGTTGCTTAGAGTTGCAGCTGAGAGGCCGGCAAGTTAGGCGGGGAACGTTGGAGTCTGCAGTCACTGAAGCAAGCAAGCCTCCCTGCTCGCTTCAGTGCATGGCTGCCGGCCGCCATCTTGGCTGACAGTTAATTTGCATAAGGATATGCTGATTAGTCAATGGGAAGGGTAGCGGTCGTACGCTAATTACCATGTTTCTCTTTTATTAGTGTAGATTAGGATAATCCCATGGAGAGAAGAGCATGGTCTCTCTGGGGCCCAGTAGACAGATAGGACTCGTGTTCAGGGAATGATAGTTTTAAGGGAAGACAATTAAAACTGAACATCTAGCCTAGCTGATGTGGCTCAGTGGTTGAACATCGACCAATGAACCAGGAGTTGACAGTTCAATTCCCCGTCAGATGTGTTTCTCTCTCTCTCTCTCTCTCTCTCTCTCTCTCTCTCTCTCTCTCTCTCTCCTTTCCTCTCTGAAATCAATTGAAAATCTACAGGAACTTCCTATTGTAGTATAATTTGTAAACTTCTGACCCCAGAATGGAACTGGTCAGAGACTCTCAGGACTGGTGAACACTGGGCACCTTCTCTGTCCAGAGTCCTCTTTCTGGCTGACGCAGAAACTGGTCTCAGCATCGTTTTTAACACAGTGGTCCAGGCTCCCACTTTATCACAGCAGGCATCTGGGGTAACATTATTTCCACTCCTGAGAACTCTCTCACAGTAGTTGCAGGTTTCAAGAACCAACCAGCACCAGCTTGATGCCACGGGGAAGAGAAAAAGGAACAAATGTGGGGAGAGAAGGACCCGTTAGCAGGCCCAGCCAAAGGCCACATGGTCTAATGGAATTTCAAAAATCATCTCACTCAGGGAACAGAACGTAACCTAGTCTGGGGGTCAGGGTGGGGCTGTGGAAAGGGGTTGGCCCACTGGAAACCAAGCACCGTAGACGTTCTGCATGCAAAGCAGAGTCTGAAACCAGCAAAATCAGAGCCATGACCAGCCACCCCAGCGTCTGATGGGATGGGCAGGCTTTCCTCCTTGAATTCCCTTGGAAAACAACCAGGTCTGCTCCAGGGCTTGGTCACAATGTGGGTTCCTCTCAATTTTAGAGAAAGATCGCATTGGCTGTGGAGTTTAACAAAATGTTCAAGGTGGCCAACAGAGAGGGCTTGGTTCTCATTTAAAATATAAAAAAACACACATCACTGTGGTTTTGGCCGAGAGGTTGGCACGCTCCACCCACGCTCTGGCCAGAAGGCAGTCAGCATCAGCAAGTTTCAAGATGGCACAAGGCTAGTCACTTGACCCTGAAAACTGAAGTCCCAGAAAGACAGTAAGGAGGGTGTGCCTTCCCAGAACCCTCAGCTTCTCCTTTGGTGGTGAAGAGAGGGGAGGAACAGGCGTGGTCTTTGCAGACCTTCCAGTGGGGGCTCCGAAGAGAGGACCTCCCAGGCGACTGACCATCATGCCACCACCCACCTCTCTTGGCTGCCTCGAACAGGGTCTGACAGTCACTTCCTCACCCACATCCCCCCAAGACACGGAAAGCCCTAAATGTCTCCAGAGCAGGGTCTCTCTCTGAGGTGGTCCCCGTGGGGAGGCTGCGGGGCCCCAGTTGTCCTGTCAGAAATCTGCAGGCTGGGCCTGGATGGCCGCTACCAACACCTCTCAGAGGCTCTGGAATTCTCCATGAGGGAGGACACATTGCTCACCCAGGCTTTGGTACTTCCCTCTGACTCAGCATCTCCCCTCCTCACTCTGACTGTCACTCAGTAATTGTGGTGACAGGTTTCATGGAAGCCTGACCACACCCACACCTGCCCCTTTCTCCTTATCCCAGAGCAGAGCAGGTGGGCAATGGAGGAGGTAGGAATAGCAGCGGGGGTCAAGGCTGGCTGGAAGCAGGTGGCATCTACCTGCTCAAGCACACACAGAACCCCCAGACATCCCCAGTCCCATCCTTCCTCACTCACCCCTGAGCCCCCAAGTTACAGCCAGAGTGCCAGGAGGAAGAGGAGGGAGGGGGGCGAATGCGCTCGTTGTCATCCTGCATCTGCAGACGGATGGGCCGGCGCAGCCCCCAGGAGATGTTCAGCAGCCCCTCCACGATGAACTCATCTTCTTCCTGCCACAAAGCAATTGGTGCAGTGAGTCCAGCAGAGAAGCTCTGCAGACGCCAGCATCACGCTGCGGGACAACGGACAGGATCCTGGCTGGGTCCTGGCTGGGTGCACGTGACTTATATTCACACCCCAGCTCCCAGCCTCTCTCCACTCTAAACCACCCTGAGGGGGACCTGGCAGGTCAGCACACAAGTTGCCTCGAGATTCAAGTACACATGTGCAAATTGTAAGAACGGAGTGTGTTGGTTTTTGTTGTGTGTTTTTTAATACTAATGACTTTAAAGAAAGAAGAATACATCTCTTAACGTAAATGAGACTAGCCTTGCTAACAGAATTAGCTTTTTCCCCCTCCCCCCACTATGGAAAAAAACGATGTCTTAAGCTACAACATATATTTAGCAATCTGACCTGCTGGTTGAAGGAGATTTAAAGTAACATTTCCCCAAGTTTATTCTACAGAATACACAGAACACCTAGCAGAATACAGAATCCTCTAGCACAGCGATTCACAAGCTGTGGGTCGCGTCCCCTTTGGCGGTCCAACGACCCTTTCACAGGGGTCGCCTAAGACCATCCTGCATATCAGATATTTACATTACGATTCATAACAGTAGCAACATTACAGTTATGAAGTAGCAACGAAAATAATTTTATGGTTGGGTCACAACATGAGGAACTGTATTTAAAGGGCCAGAAGGTTGAGAACCACTGCTCTAGCAGATCAACTGTTACCTTTAAAAGGGTGTCACGTGATCATGTGTTGGGAGATGCTGTTAATCATAATTCTTAACAGCAGAACTTCCCAGAGCCTATAATAAGCTTACAGGCTAGATTGTGACTATGCAAGAGATAGATAAATCTTGCAAGAATTCCAAATTTATACTCAAGGGTTGTTCACTAATAAGTTAAATGTGAAAGCATTCTAAGGGCATTTGCATGATCCGGAGAAATGGATTTCACTTATGACCATGAAACTCTTTAATTACCAAGCATTTGGGGAATTTATTCTATAGGACACACCCCGAAAAAGCTGTTTTTAAGACTAAAATCTTGTTAATGGCCCAACCACTAAATAGTAGAAGCTTTGAGGTCAGTGCCTAAAAGGGTCAGGCCTTGTCTCCAAGTCGCAGAAAAATCTATTTTGGGCAGGGCCCACAGATGTCAGACCCGAGCCATGGACACATCTTCAGGACAAGCCCCCTGGGTGAAAATGATACCTGTCCAGGGGACAACTAACCTGAGCCCCAGGATCATCCTTAGACAGGGAGAGGGAATAAAAGAATGTAGAGCCCTGGCCAGTTTGGCTCAGTGGATGAAGCATCGGCCTGTGGACTGAAGGGTCCCAGGTTCGATTCCGGTCAAGGGCACATGCCCAGTTTGCGGGCTCAATCCCCAGTAGGGGGTTGGGGGTGTAGGAGGCAACCGATCAATGATTCTCTCTCATCATTGGTGTTTCTCTCTCTCTCTCTCCCTCTTCCTTCCTCTCTGAAATCAATAAAAAATATATATATTTTTAAAAAGAATGTAGAAGAGCTGAGCAACTTTAGGACATTTGTGGATCTTGGGGAGAAAGGCTTTATTTAAGTACAGACGACATATATGGCCTTCTAAATGGTCTATGCTGGCATCATTGCTTTACGTTACATTCCTATAAGACAGAATTTAACCCACAGTAGGGCTTTGCCTAAGTGGAATTATTTGAGGGACACAGAGAAGGCCACTGCGTCCACATGCCATCCCCAACCAGCCTGCCTTAGTGGCTGAAATTCCACCAACTGCTATCTTTTTCTATGGATTAAATCACCCTGGCTTGATAACCTGAAAATGTGTTTAGAAGGGTATTACACATACCTTCTTATCAGTCAAGAACACTTGAGTATAAATTACTCTGCCAGGCTCCTGTATAACTCACCACCTATCTGATAACAGGTTTTACAGAAATGGATACAAGAGGAGTAAGCTTAGATGCAGGATGGTGGCTGGGGAGAGACAGATGGGTAACAAGTGGCTTTCCAAGCAGACACCTAGGAAGGCTGCTGCAGTTCTGGAGAAGGCGAAGGGTACCACCCAGAGCTTAGATGATGTAGCCGGGTTGCTGCCACGTAAGACGTGGGCCAAAATGTGTAAACATAGAGGACTGGGAAGTACCTGAATTGCCCCAAAGGCAGAAGCCTGCTTGGAAGCCATCTGAAAGGGTCATTTCATAAAAGCCTCCCTTTGGAGGATTCCCCCCAGTCAGGCTGGTACTAGCCCTAAATGAGAGGCCGTTCACTGTGGCAGGAGGGAGAGGGATCCAGGACATAGGGCCCCTCAGGCCCAGGACACGTTGAGACAAAGACTGGGCTGGCCCACCAGAAAAGGAGCCTCACAGGTCTTCCCCGGGGCCTCCTCACCTCACGGTGTCGGAGCTGCAAATTCTGGCCTTCATAGTACAGGTTGTAGGTCTTCAGATGCAGGAGAAGCTCATTCCTTAGGCGAAAAAATACAAGAGGTAAAACATTCGTAGCTGAAGCCACTTATAATGCAGTTGTTCCCTCTTTTTCTCACCTCTAACCTGGCCTCGTTCACCCTAGTCTGGGTGCTTGTCCACACGTGTGTGTACACACACACACACACACACACACACACACACAGAGTCTACCACCACCCCCATCGGCATCTTCCCCCAGGATTAAGATCAATAGTAAACACCACCTAGAACAGACTGAACGTAAGGAGCAACTCTAGAAAACTAAGGCGGGTCTTGTCTGCTGGCGGAGGTGGGCATCTCTGACACTACTCTTCAAACCCCAGTAAATGAGCTCACAGACAGGCCTCCTGCCTCTCAGCCTTTCCTCCCTCGTGCATGCTGGGAGTTAGAAGAGGACAATCGCTGGAGGCTTTTCTCGTGAGACTCAGGAACTTCTGGGCCTTTGAGAATGCTTCATAGACACGGACTTATGCTTCATGGACATGACCTGTGTTTAAAAACTTACAAGCTCCCATCCACAGTGAATGGATGAATAAAGGCAGCTACAGTCACACAACAGAATATTAGATGGCAATGAGAATATGAATAAACTACACATGACATAGATGAATCTCACAGATATTATGCTGAGTAAAAGCCAGGCACAAAAGAGCACATATTGTACGATTCCATTTATATAAAGTTTGAAATGGGTATTAGAATTCGGGATAGTGGTTCACCTTAGGGAGCAGTGACTAGAAGTGGGCATGAGAGGGTTTCTGGGCCCTGGCAATATTCTATTCTAGGTGCTTTTCGTTTATTTAAAAAAATGTTTTTTAGCCGAAACCGGTTTGGCTCAGTGGATAGAGCGTCCGCCTGCGAACTGAGGGGTCCCGGTTCGATTCCGGTCAAGGGCATGTACCTGGGTTGCAGGCACATCCCCAGTAGTGGATGTGCAGGAGGCGGCTGATCGATGTTTCTCTCTCATTGATGTTTCTAAACTCTCTATCTCTCTCCCTTCCTCTCTGTAAAAAATCAATAAAATATATTTTTAAAAAAATTTAAAAAAAATGTTTTTTAACCTACAAGCCTGTTACCAGGCTTTCTTAGCTGCTAAATACTGATTCCCAGGTCTTCCACCTGGGACCCAGCTCTACTGAGCCTGGGAGAGAGAGGGCTTCATCCCTCTGTGAGCCCGCATCAAACCTAAGAATAGTCTGATTGAGTTTTGTCTAAAAATGCATGGTAGTGCATGAGGGCTGGGAGGGAGAGAAGCTTGAGGAGGCTGCTAGCTGCTTTTGTCTATTCTCAGACAAGGGGCAATGGAGCCATTCAATGGGGATATTTGGGGCCATGCCAGAGATCAAAGCTGGCTGGGAATTCTAAGAAGCTCTTGACAAGCTAAGTCCGGCTAAATTGGAGTAATTCTACACAAGCCTAAATGAATTATTGAAAAATGTGACTCCAAACAACCTAAACCAAAAAACTGTTGGTACTTTTGAACACACAGATCTGAAACTAGAATGCAAAATTACTGGTCAGTAGAAGTCCCTGGGGAAATCCTTCAGTGTAGCGATAGGAATGATCCATTATCTCACACAACATGTGTCTGTAGATGGCCAAGGGTGTCTTAAAAAATTAGTACAATTTGAACTCAGAAAAATTAAACATTTAATTAAGATAGAGAGCTTCCAGGATGTGTAAATCCCTGTGCTGGATATAAATATATAACCTGAAACTTATAATTCAAAAAAGCCCATTTTGGCTCAGCCCCATCACATTAGCAAAAAGCTGAGTTCAGGAGATTTTATTGCCTGTAAAGCAATAACACTGTCTTCTCCTTTTCAGGGGAACTTGTGACTTAGCCAGAACCGCAGCAGTATAGGGACACAACTCATCTGGGACTCCCCCGGGAGACACCACAGACAGGACAGTAAGCAGCCACTGCTGACTCCTCCTCCTGGTAGCCCTCCAGGACACCATCTCTTCTGAGCTTTCAAAGGTGCCATATCTTAAAGATCCCCCCTTAGTTCACTCTCTATGGCCAGACTCTGGGGACGTGTTATCTAGAGCAGCAGCCTTGCTGATGCTTTTACTAGTCCACACTCAGCTACTTACTTAGCTCTTTCTCACACATAAGAGCCTCAGCTCTCTCATGTACAGAGGAGGCATCTCTGCCAGTGGCTTCCATCCACATGGGGACACAACACGACGGCAAAAAGACTTACTTGGAAATGTATTTATCTTTTCCACATGGGACGAGGGAAGTTTGGTGACTGTAGTCCATTCTTCTTTCCTCTTTTCATCAGAAGGAGAGACCTGTATTTGAAAGGAGAAGCAGAGGTTAGAGTTAGGTTGTGTCCTTAGGAATAAGCAGAAGTTGGGCCAGGGGACCAGGGGGACGTGGCTCTCTGTCCCCCTTCCAGACCCACAGCGTGGGCAGCCCAAAGGTGACCTAGGGCTAGTGAGATGCCACACTGCCGGCTGCTGCCTCTGCTTGCCACAGCCTCTGAGAGAAAAAATGCCCAAAGGAAAGATGACCACCGTGGACAGCTCCAGAACGAGTGCCCTGGCCACAGAGAATGTTGACACCCAACTCGGTCCCAAGGTCAACCAGTGAGTCTTCCCTGAAGAGACCTCCAAACACAGAATAGAGATTCATCTGACAGGAAGGCTCAGATTCTACTAAAGATTGGTAGACCACCTAAAAATGCCCAAACAGAGCTAAGGGCAAAAAATCGCAGCATACACATCTATAATCACCATTAAAAGATGATACTGTGAAGGCAAATGAATTACCTGGGAAAATGACAATACATTATGAAAACACATGCTACACAACTATGAGTCTAATTTTGTTTAAAATATATGTAAGCAAGGGGGATAATGAGGGGGAATAGGAGATATCTGTAATACTATCAATAATAAAAATGTGTTTTAAATATATATATATACTAGTATGTAAGCATAAAATATTAATATATGTACATTTACTTGAATAAATATATATTCATATTTCAATTATATATATGCAGTCAGGCCTCAATGTCATCGATTGGTTCTATAACTTTAAGCAAAACGATGTATAATGACACAATTTTACCATAGGCTAGTTGATATAAACAAGAGTTAAGTTCCTAAGGCATTTCATCAACATTATAATGAAATGCCATAGAATGAAATGACATTAATCAAATGAAAGATTAAAATCATATGATCATCTCAATAGATGCAAAAAAAGGCATTTGACAAAATCCAACATCCTTTCATGATAAAAATTACAACAACTTCAGTATAAAAAGAATGTACTTCAGCATAATAAAGGCCACATATGACAAGCCCACAGCTAACATCATACTCAACGATGAAAACTGAAAGCTTTTTTTCTAAGAACAGGAACAAGATAAGGGTACCCACTCTCACCGTCCTATTCAACATAGTACTGGAAGTCCTTGCCAGAGCAATCAGGCAAGAAAAATTTTAAATAGGCATCTAAATCAGTAAGGAAAAAGCAAAATTGTCTCTGTTTGTAGATAAGATGATCTTACATTAAAGACTCCACCAAAAAAACTGTTAGAATTAATCAATGAATTCACTAAAGTTGCAGCACACAAAATCAACATACAAAAATCAGCTGCATATCTATACACTAACAACAAACTATCTGAAAAGGAATAAAGAAAACAATTCCATTTATAATAGCATCAGAAATAATAAAATACTTAGGAATAAATTTAAGCAAGGAGTTGAAATATCTGCACACTTAAACTTATATGACTTCGATGAAAGAAATTGAATAAGACTAAAAGAAAAGAAAAGATATCACATGCTCATGGATCAGAAGAACAGTGTTAAAATGTCAATATTACCCAAGCTATCTCTAGATCCAATACAATCCCTATCAAAATTCCAATGGCATTTTTCACAGAAATAAAATAAAATATACTAAAATTTGTATGGAACCACAAAAGACTTCAAATAGGCAAAGCAATCCTGCCAAAGACGAACAGAGCTGGAGGCATCAAACTTCCTGATTTCAAACTATACTGCAAAGGTCTTGAGAAGGCTAAGCGGCTAATTCCAATGTAACCCTGATGTTTGCGGGGGCTAGCAATCTGAATCTGTGCCAGTAATCTAATGTACATTCTTGATAACCTATAATTAAATCACTGCCCCTTTCTCCACAATCTGGTCTTGCAAGACCTGTTACCTAAATACTCACATTTTACAGAGGCCATAAACCATGAACCCCCGGAAGGGGTTATCAACACTGGCACCAGGCCAGGCCCTTAGATATGATGTGAAGGCCCCCATCCCAACACACGGGGCTTTTTGCAAAGCCCACGAAAGGTCCGGAAGTGTGATCCATATTTGGGGGACAAAGAAGCCAAAGGGTAAGAAGAGCTTCCACCATATTGGTTTGCTCAGACTTTGGAGGCAACTGCTCTGAGACCGCCGGCGTAATAAAGCTGTGTAACTCCATTTCTCTAAGCGTCGCTTGGGTTTCTTTGGTCTTCTACAACAGTCTAGTAACCAAAACAGTATGATACTGGCACATAGACCAATGAAACAAAATTAAGAGCTCAGAAATAAACCCACGCATATACAGTCAACTAATATTTGACCAGGGAGCCAAGAATACTTAGTGAGGAAACAACAGTCTCTTCAATAAATATTGGGAAAGCTCGAAACTCACCTGCAAAAGAATGAAATTGGACCCTTATCTTACACCACTTACAAAAAATAACTTGAAATCGATTAGACTTACATGTAAAACCTGAAATTGTAAAAATTCTAGAAAATAAAAACAGAGAAAAAGCTTCTGGACATTGATCTTGGCAAAAATTTTTTTGGATATGACACTAAAAGCACAAGCAAAAAAAGCAGAAATAATTGAGACTACATCAAACTAAAAAGCAAAGGAAACAATCAGCAAAATGAAAAAGCAACCTACAGAACAGGAGAAAATATTTTCACATCATGTATCTGGTAAATGATTAATATCCAAAATATATAAGGAACTCATATAACTTAATAGCAAAAAATATGAATAATCCAATTTAAAAATGGCTAAAGGGCTTGAATAGACATGTCTCCAGAGAGCACATACAGATGGTCAATAGATATATGGAAAGATGCTCAACATCATTAATCATGAGGAAAATGCAAATTAAAACCACAATGAGATATGACCTCACACCTGTCAAAATGGCCATCATCAAAAAATCAGCAAACAACAAGTGTAGGTGAGGATGTAGAAAAAGCGAACCCTCATGCACCATTGGTGGGATTATAAATTGGTGCAGCCACTATGGAAAACACTACAGAAGTTCCTCAAAAAATTAAAAACAGAGCTTCTAGATGACCCAGAAATTCTACTTCTGGGTATTTATCTGGAAAAAAAAAACAAACATAAAAACAAACAGATACAGAAACAAACTAGATGTCCATCAATAGGTGAATGGATTAAAAAAGATAAGATATAGCCTGGCTAGTGTGGCTCAGTGGTTGAATGTCAGCCCATGAACCAAGAGGTCACTGGTTCAATTCCCGGTCAGGACACATGCTCAGGTTGCAGGCTCAATTCCCAGTAGGGGGTGTGCAGGAGGCAGCTGATTGATGTTTCTCTCTCATTGATGTTTCTATCTCTCTCTCCCTCTCCCTTCCTCTCTCTCTAAAAATCATAAAAACATACAAAAAAAGATGATACATATAATGGAAAATTACTCATTAATAAAAAATAATGAAATCTTGCCATTTGCAGCAACATTAATGAACCTACAGGGTATTCTGCTAAGTGGAAGAAATCAGACAAAGACAAATACCATATGATTTCACTTATACATGGAATCTAAAAAATTAAGCGAATAAATGAAACAAAACAGAAACAGAGCCATAGATATAGAGAACAAGCTGATGGTTGCCAAAGGGGAAGAACATGTCGGGGTGGAGAAAAAACAAAACCCAGAAGGCATAATAAAAACATAATTGATACCAATCTGTAAAAATTTTAAATTTCTGTTTAAAAAAATGTTTTCCCTACCCAAAGTCAAAAGGCAAATGACAAATTGGGAGAAAATATTTACAAAACGTGACAAAAGGCTAATGTCCTTTGTGGAGAGTGGCTACAGTGTTTGGACACGTTCAAGCCTTGGACCAGGGGTCCTCAAACTACGGCCCGCGGGCCACATGCAAATACAAATATTGTATTTGTTCCCGTTTTGTCTTTTTACTTCAAAATAAGATATGTGCAGTGTGCATAGGAATTTGTTCATAGGGTTTTTTTTTAAACTATAGTCCGGCCCTCCAACAGTCTGAGGGACAGTGAACTGGCCCCCTGTTTAAAAAGTTTGAGGACCCCTGCCTTGGACTAAGGAGAGGGCAAGTTCTGTCAGTGCCACATGCACGTCCCAGCTCGGAGGACAGGGCCCTCCCAGCACAATTACAGCCAACAGCTATAGTTGTGAGCTTGAACCTATGGTCCGAACACATGGCCCCACGTGTCTGAGTGATGTGGGCTTGATAAAGTTCAGGTGCATGTAATTGAGTAGGATCGAAACCCACGAGAATGTGGTAAACATCTTGACCACACCCTTACTTTGCCTCGTGGAATCCGGCTATAAAATAAAGATACGGCCAGTGGGCGCTGGCGCTGTTTCTCCATCAGAGAAGCAGCATCCCACCGAGACCCAGCTTTCTTGCCTTGTCTATCTTTTCTCCATCCTTCACTGTCCCCACTCGGGCTCACCCTTGGCCGTGCTGGCGCGGCACAGTCCTTACTATGTACAGGGCTTTAATAAATCAGAAAGAAAAAGATTCTACACTCAGTAAAAATTGGTCCAAGGACATGAACAGACAATTCGAAGAGAAATAAACACAAATAGTTAATAAACTATGAACTCTTTCTCATCACTTTACTTTTACCTACCAAGTGATATGAAGCAAACAGCAAATCATAACATACTAGATATATTATAATCTAGTATTAGAATTATTTTATTTTATTTATTTATTTTTTAATATATTTTATTGATTTTTCACAGAGAGGAAGGGAGAGAGACAGAGAGTTAGAAACATTGATTAGCTGCCTCCTGCACATCTCCCACTGGGGATGTGCCCGCAACCCAGGTACATGCCCTTGACCAGAATTGAACCTGGGACCCTTCAGTCCGCAGGCCGACGCTCTATCCACTGAGCCAAACTGGTTTCAGCTAGAATAATTTTAGTTAAAATTATTCAATTAGCCCTTCAGAGTCATAGCTGCATTGCAATGTAGTCATGTCCTGGGGCCTGCAGGCCTGCTTGCAAAGCAAGTTTCA